CCGAACTTAAATTATAAACTTCCTTATATTATAAACTTCCTACCATAAATTATTAAATTTTAAAATTATAACTTTTTATTGTCTATTTAGGTTTTAATTCTAAAATGATGCTTACTTTTTATGCAAATTGTAAATCGCTTATCAAATACAACTTTATACAAATTTTTCAACGCATTTGACGACCTTTAAGGGCGCCAATTTTCAACCTTCCACATTTTCCACTGGCATGGCTTTCAGAAGCAAGGTTTTTTTATTTTCTTCTAAAGCACTATGATTTTCAGCCTATAATTATTGATGCCAGAAACCATTTGCTTGGCCGATTAGCTGCGATTGTAGCAAAGACCTTGCTTCATGGTCAGAAAATGGTTATAGTCCGCTGTGAAGGTATCAATATATCCGGATCATTTTACCGTAACAAATGTAAGGCATATTCATGTTTACTTTTTAAGTAAAATATCAGGATTTCCTTAAAAAGCGAATGAATACGAATCCGTCCCGTGGCCCATATCATTTTCGAGCGCCTTCAAAGATTTTTTGGAGAACAGTGCGTGGAATGTTGCCTCACAAGCTAGCCCGTGGAAAAGAGGCATTAAAGCGTCTCAAGGTATTCGAAGGCATTCCTCCACCATATGATAAAAAAAAACGAATGGTGGTTCCATCTGCTCTCCGTGTTTTGCGCTTGAAACAGCGCCGAAAAGTAATTTATTATTGTTTATTACCTGTTAGTTCTGCCTACTTGGCCGCCTTTCGCATGAATTCGGATGGAAATATCAGGGGATTATAGAAAAAATGGAAAATAGAAGAAAAGCAAAGGCCGCGGTATGGTATAAGAAGAAAAAACAGGCTCGTGCGCCGGTTGAAGCCGCTCAAGGAAAAGCGCGTGAGGCTGTCAAACAATATAAACTTATAATGAAAAAGTATGGATACTAAAATATAATATAATTGGTCTGAAACTTTTTCTTTATGAATAAAAGCGGGCTTTCTTGTCATGTCCTATCTTAGTTCCGCCATTTCATTCCTAGCATGCAACCTTCAATTTCGTTATTAATCCATTGACCTTGACAAAATTCCTTTATCAGGTTGTTTATTCTTGTATAAATAGATCATGTTAATACACGCCAAGTCATGTGACTTGGCCAATCAGCCACTTGTATTCTCTAGTCGTTTGAACGCTTCATTCATTAGGGCCCACAGTTACGGTGACCCTAACTTGTATTTAGAGCCTTAGTACTTGTTTGGTGATCCTTGAATTTGGTTTGCCTCCTTTTATCACCTTTTCTATGTTTAGTTCCAGGGATTAGGTTTTTTTATGACTTGTTTTTTAATGGTAATTCATTCTCGAAGTTCGTTCGGCTTGTTGATATGCTTTATCTTATTAGCTGACGCTTAAAGGTTTTGTTGACTGTCCTAGTTCTATCTACACGTTATTTTTAGTTTGACCTTTCCTTTTACTTTTTTGGCCGGCAACTGTCCTAACAGTGTGGTGGGTGCTGTCTAATTCCAATAAATCTAGTCGTATATTGATCAAAAGATGGCGTGTTTCACTTAACTCGCGACCGCCTTAATTTTATTAAATTTGCAACGTATACTGGGAACCGGCGGCCTCCATTTATATTCATACGGGCAAATTGTGTTCTAACATGTCCACTGTTGCATTCACTTGGTGTTTATTTATTTAGGATCGCGATTGAGGGCAACGAATAGTGATCTTGCCTGATTTGCCTAAGCATAACTATCCACTTATGGGCTGGCTGATTTGTATTTATCCTCAGACTAATTAATTGTAACTTGTTTCATGTATGTTGTCGTCCCGGCCGTTATTCGTACTTATTATAATTAGCATGGGTGGATTCGGTCCGTATTTAATGCTTAGGCAGCAGAGCTGTGATTAGATTTTAATTGAACCGGAAATGATAGGGCTGGAGATTAAGTGTAGGTGCTTGGCTGCAAAAAATATTCATACGCCCAACCTCCGTAGTAGTGCTGTGTTTATCTGTACTCATGCAAAACCACCGTCTCTGGGGTCTTATATTCTTGTAGTAGAGTAAGATCGGAGATAAATTCTAAAAGTAATTCAACGCGAGGATGGACTCTGAGTTACATTGGGGTAAAATTTAATTACGAATTCGAAATGTTAGTGCGATTTTTCGATAGGCAAAAGTGAGTTACAGTCCAGTAGCCAACGTCCCATGCATAGAATGCACAAAGGTACGTCTGTTTTTGGCCATGAAGGTTTGATGGCCCCTATCTCTTAGACCGAAAATTTGCGGAAAAATAGTCACGCCAACTCAATTTCAGGTGAAGGAAATTTATTGGTTTAACGATTCTGAGTTTCCAAGGTGTTCATTTTCCATCAAGTAGGGCTGCGCTTCATAAATGTCTCAATAGCAAATTTTTGTAAGGCAAATTGGGGAGTGGATTTTCAATCTACCATTGTTGATTTCTTAAAAGCATTCATTAGAAGGAAATAAAGCCGTTTTATTGAAATCGAAGTTCTGAAACGAACTTTTGTTGCTAAATTATTCCCTTACATACTTGGTACTGATTATGAGACCAAGTATTCAAGGCAAAGGGCTCTTTAAGTGATTAATTGGGGTTGCACAACTACTTCGGAACCTCTTGATTACATCGTTCAAGCTTCCTCTTCCTCATTCACTTATCCTGTTCATCACATCACAAACGCTCTACAAATAATTAGCTTTATACGATTTCTATTTTCCTTGCACAACTTTAAAAGATAATTGTAAAGACTCCTCTCCACTAGGTTTCTGGGCATCGAGGTGGTTCTTAAGGTATAATTCTCTAAATAGGATTAAGAGATTATAAGAACTCTTCTCGATCGTTCAGCCATTTTTCCACTTGCCTCCACATTTTACACATTGAATTCGGAAAATTCAAAACGTATGCGAATGAAAATTGGTTGAAACCTTCAGAGCTAGAGTAATTTAATTTTGTTTGATCTTAATAATATATGCGAAGAATCTCTTGTTTCATAATTGTTGAGCATATTTCAATTTAGAGTGAAATTGTTGGGTGAAGAGATTCGAAGATCGATTCCACCAGAAGACGACGGTGAATTCCTTCTTTACCAGCTGTCGATTAACTTTACTGGAAGATTCATTCTGACGCTGTTTCCGAGGTAATTTTCTTCAATTCTGGTGAAAAGGTGCTGATCTTTCGTCCATCATATAACGAACATCATCAGAGCAAGGTATCATGGTCACAACAGAATTCAAGCTGACGAGTCAAGAAAACTCACTAGCAAATCCATAAAAAGTGCTATATATACACTACATTTGGCCTCCTTGATCAAGTATAAAGTGATTTGGTTAGTCATATATCAACTTCGATGCCGGTGAGTGTATCTGTCTCTGTATGTGTATGTGACTGCTTGTATTCGTTTATGCACGAAACCCACAGTTATAGCTCAAAGTAATTAGGACAGTTAAAAGGAACGTCTGTTTTTAGCCATGAAGGTTTGATGACCCCTATCTTCTCCTTTCTACATACATGTGATAACCATCACTCCGATTGCGCAATATCGGACACTCGTCTGGTTTTGTTGATGAGCCTTATTTTGTTTTTGGTCTCAATGCGAGAGAGAAAGAGTAATCTAAAAGTACAGTGAAGTAACTATGATTAGAATCAAGACAAAAAAAGAAAAAAAGGCTAGATGTGTCGCCTCCTTTTAGCAGGCGGCTCAATTCCCTCTCTATCCTTCAGTCTATTAATTAAACACAAGTAATTATCAATAATCTTCTTACAAGTATTCCTTATATTTAATGTATTTACTATTCGGTTTTTTTCTATAGCTTATCTAATTTTACGTTTAGCCGCAAACATACCATAATTAGCAAAATGACAAGTTTGAGACCATTCACTCTCGTGTCCCGTTTCTGCCCTGTACTCAGCAAGCTCCGATTTTTGAACCCAGCAGCCTTTGCAGGCACTTTTGTGTTCAGCCACCCTTTTCCGAATGGGACGACAAGTCCATTGCCGGTGAGTTTTCTTCACTCGTTAGCTTGAACGTTGCTGTGACGATGATACCTTGC